TTTTTTTTTTTTTTTTTTTTTTGCAGGTTCGTCCTCCGTCGACGTAAAATCCGACGAGAAGAACTCCGGCAGCAACAAATCCGGTGAAAGAAGTGATCCGGACGTGACTTTTTCCGACGAAAATTGATTTTTTTTCCGGCAATATTTGTCATTTTTCCGGCCAAAATTAGAAGTAGTAAGTAATGTATGCATTATATGAGGATTTTGGAGTCTAAAAATCATCTTTAATTCATATATTATGGTTAATTTGTTGAGGATTGAATTTTGAATCTTGTTGTTCATATTTACCCTAAATCAATAAAATGATCATAATCTCTTTTTCTTGTTCATTTATACGAAATTGATGCTATTGTTAGGTATGATAAGTGTTATTAAGCCTAAAACAAGAAAATAAGGTGGGAATTTTCATTGTACCAATATTCTATATTATTGTACCTCTGTTTGTGTATATGTAGTACCACTTTAGCAGTTGTTTGGTACCACATGTGCTGGGAATGTGAATTTGTTTTTTTAATTTATCCAATTATTGTTAGATACATGGAAGAGACACAAAGTGATATACTAGGGAGTTGTGAATGAATTATTTGTGTTCTCTATGCACCATGGATCAACGCTTGACGAAGTCTACACTCTTATTGCTAAAAGGTGGCCGAATGTTAATTTCCAATCTGTCATGCTATGTTATATTGCGCCAAAAGAAAACAAAAGAGTTAGTTTGTCCGATGATGGGGATGTCAAAAACATGATTCGGTTACATGTTTTTTGGAAAATTAATATTGTCGAGATAGTTGCCATTGAAAGAATTAAAAGGCCGAATGATAGAGTTCAATCCATCCAGATGAACATGAATAGGTAATGTTGCTTTCATAATAGTAATTAATTTATTATTGAAATATGGTATAGTCATATCATATCCTAGTTCATTAATTTTTTAAGTGGTTCAATTATTTATAAATATTTGTATTATTTTGTCATTAACGTGGGGAAATTGTACCGTATGATGATTTCTCGGAGGGAGAACATGAGTTGTTGCAAGATAAATCGATTGATTCTTGGAGAACTTGCATAAAAGGAGAGGGGCAAATATTCAATGGGGCCGATGAATTTCGAAAGAGTGTTAAGAACTACGTGATTGCTAATTGATTCCAGAAAGCTGGTACTAATTGATCAATAACATGTACTTCATAGAAGAAAAGGCGGTATTATATCCGTCAAAACCGGTACCAGTCAATAAATTGAAGTGTAATAAGTAGTGTTTTTCCATTAGTGTGTCGAGTTCGTGACCAATTTACG